CATATTTATGAACATCAACATTCAACACAGATTGACTCTGAAACTTGTCGAGTATTTTGCATAATTAATAATTTCTAACAATTATCAGATCACATTATGTGATAGTACGAGGGCACATCAAACTTAACACTGGCTTCTTATGTAGAGGTAATCGGTGCATTATGCAATAAAAAGCTAAGAATAATGTGCGAACATGCAAAACAAGGCTAGCATGTGTGTGATAAAATCAATGATTTTAAAATTGTAATTTATAATAGCATTCATATTTTATGATCTACGCATCGTCATGAAAATAATTTGATAAACTGAATAAAAATTTTAATAAACATTTTCTTATATTATGTAGTATTTACATAATAGACCTGTATGCGGGTAGGTACAAACTAGAGGTGTCAATATGTCACCAAAATCAAACCAATGCATTTACCATGTGACAAGTAAATAAATAAATAAACAAGAACCTTTGTAAGTGTCTCAGAAATTAACAGTAAACCAAAAACAATTAATAACGTACAAAGTTTAATTTCATATCCATTTTAGTAACAACACGGCGCCTGCGCACGTTTTAGATAAATTCGAATAGGTATCGTAACAATAAGTAAGTGTAAATTTAACTGACTAATAGTTTACAAAATACAAGGGCGTTATTTATTTGGACTAAGGCGCGGGTTCATAGGTGATAGTGGTATGGCACATAAGGTAAACATGGTAGCACCTTATGCTGTTGAAATAAGTTTGGTTTTGCAACAATTTATGTTCAGTTTAATGTGTTGATTGTACCTATTTAAAGTTGCCGTAAGAGGTGCTAATTATACATACCAACGGATTATAATTTATAGTTATAGCGGCTGGGACATTTGGCGCCAATGGTCTTACACATTAGAATCATAAAATATCACATTCAATTATCCTAGTCTATGGAAAATTTATTGCCTTTGCTTTATAATTTTGAATACTCATGGCAATATGTACCTATACATATTTACTTAAGTACATGACATACCTACTCGCAAATGTTAGTTGCAAAATTTCGCGTAGGTAATTAGGTACCTACTTGATCAAGCAGTCCTTTGGCGCCACAAAATATAGCCCCAATCGCCCAAAGTCTACAGGATTATCGAGGCGCATCTACAACTACATTTTAGGGTTAAAATTAATTAAATAAAACATTCACATTGTCAAAATTCTTGATCAATAATGGTAGCTTAAATAAAATGCATAATTGGATCTCTAAGATCACAATCGGTCAAACAACGAAAAGCATTTTAATTAAGTCAATCTAAAGATATAATTAAAACGTGAATATCTCTCAAATTCCCATAAAATGTGTTTAAAATCGCTTCATGTGATAAAGTATTTTAATAGATTTGCCTTAAAAGGATGATCTTAATTTAGACAATGCCATAAAATCGAGTCTTTACATAGCTGCTTTTATGGCAAGATAACATTTAATGTGTTATCGTCCTTTGATCATTTATTGTATTTTAATTCTTGTCTCGAATCTCCATCAAGTTTTTAAGTAATTGAACGCCGAGACGCTAGACACAATGGAAATTGTATTGTTCGAGGCTCACCTATTGTCTTCATTGAAATTCATTAATCCTATATCTCACAGTTATTTGTTAGAATGACTCTAAACACTAATGCACGCAAAAGTTTAAACGCAAAGCTTTCAAGTCTTTCACATCACATCGAAGATTTTTTATAGATTTTTTTTTGCTACCTTACCTCGTAAAATTATTTTACTGAAACACAAAACTGATAAAAGAACAAAGTAATTCTTCCATAATACTTAATAACACGCAATCTGAAGAAAATAACAGTGCAAAAAAAACTGATGAAAGCAAAAACCAAACATTTATTCCACGCAAGAAATTATCAAATTCTCTAAAATAAATAACATAATAAACATAAACATCATACATGAATTATCCTTCATATTCTACGATCAATCGATGGAATTCAATCGATAAGTTTATCGATTACTTCTATTCAGTTTCAGCCTACATTAGCGATTGGCGATTTGCTTTGATGATTTTACGAGGCCCAGTTCCAGGCCAAAGTCAAAGCTGTAAAGACAGCGATAAGTAGGCCGACGGCAGACGAATCTTTATTATCACATAATCAGCAGCAATAACAATACCCTAATTTACGAGCTGAGTGTACCCGGCCTTGTTTTAGTGATGTGCCTTTCGAAAAAAATATTTAAAACCTACTAAAATGTGGACTACACAAGGTGGACCGATGACATAATAAAGGTAGCGCTGCACGCTGGATGCAGGCCGCTACCTATCGATCAACATGGAAAGCATTGGGGAAGACCTATGTTCAGCAGTAGACGTCCTATGGCTGAAATGATGATGATTATAAAAGTCATTTATTCAGACGTCTTCACGGTCTAGTCTAGTTAGGTAATTAGGAGTGAGGTTTTCTGGATCTATTTCCCCGAAAGGCAATTGAAAATCCAGTTTCTATAACTATACAGGTGACTGCCGGAGCCTCTTTAAAAAGTAGCAGACTTTCCCAAATGGAAAATTAAAAAAGCAGTTTCTCTATTTTCTAGATTTAGTTACTCAGAGAATGATTCGCAAAAACTCTTCAAAAAGTTGCAGGTACTTAAGGTAAAATAAAGAAGTCGTTATTGATTCTTCTTATCTTAGGGAAGAATTTTTTACAGCTTTACCATGAAAGAGTTTGAAAAACACTGAACAAGAAAAGCTTTTCAGATAAAATTTGTCATTCATTTTTATAAAGGTTATCGTAGCTGTACCGTAGCGTAGAAATGAGTTGTAGCTGAAGGTGCTATTGAGTAATTTCAGGCTCCTATAGTGGCTATAAACCTTCAAATTAGCAATCCCATCCATTTAAACACCTAACATCACTACGCCAACATTGTTGCATGAATACTTTATAGATCAGACGATTCGCATTCACTCAATAGACAATTCGAGTTTTATTACATAGCAATAGGTCGACTACTGTTGGAGTTGCCATGTAGAAGGCAAACGGCCGTTTTTGCTGGTTTTTAGGGTTCCGTAACCAAAGGGTAAAAACGGGACCCTATCACTAAGGCTGGGTTGCACCACCTAACTTTGACCGTAACTATGAGTTATTCGTCGTCTCGCACCTCTAAAGATGCGAGTTGGCACCTTCTGTTTTTTATGTCATCAACTCGCACCTTTTTGAAATCTGACGTGTTTATGTATAGTCATCTACAAAAATGTTTTAATAAATTACTTAAAGGATTGTGTAAGCCACTTGCAATGAGTTGAGATTAATAATAAAACAAAATGTACTTTTCAGATAGGTTTATATTCTAAATCAACATGCTAATAAGCCTAAGACACAGTTGCATGACCCTTTTAACAGTAACTTTAACCAGTGTTTTTGTTAGAGATTTTTGACGTTTGTTAAAGTAAGATGGTGCAACCCAGGATAAGATTTTGATGTCTGTCTATCTGTCACCAGGCTGAATCTCACGAACCATGATAGCTGGACAGTTGACATTTTCACAGATGATGTACATGATAATGTTTATTTCTGTTGCCGCTTTATGCATAACAACAAATATTAAAAACAGAACAAAATAAATATTTAATTAGAGTAGGTTAGTATTTTATGCTGCTTTTTACTTAAACTTTAATTTCAGGAACAAACTATTTACCTACAACTACAAGTTTGTACGGAACCATCGGTGCGCGAGTCCGACTCGCACTTGGCCGGTTTTTTGTCTATTTTGCATTCAGCTGCGGTTTTCTTGCTGGTGTTAAAATAACAGTTTGCAGCTACTGTTGGTTTTTCAAGCAGCATTGTTTGTGTCCTTCCGTGCTGAAAACGGTGTCATGCAACTATGTTCACAATACTGTTTTTAATGTAAAATCATCCAAAAAAGGACTGGCAACAAGACAAGTGCTGAAGGATTTTAGTTTGGTTTCCCAACTTATAATTTTTAAAAAGTATCTGATTATGTATGTTTGTTTTTAACCTTGTCCTAGCTTTGCTTAGTTTGGGACTAAACTGCGCCAGTTTTAAAAGTCCAAGTCCATTATTTATTTGTCTAATGTAAAGACATACGGGCGAAATGTGGTCTTTAATCCTTCAAGCTCCGCGAATCTAGACACAATAGATAATCAATTGTTATGACATTAATTAATGCCGTCTGGGACCCAATCGGTTAAAAGAAACATTGAATATGAACATAAGTAGCTTTTTAGACACACCTGGCTAAAACAGTAGTGCAACTATAGATTTTCATTTTAATTATAATTAAAACTTGTTTTGCGAGGTAATGTCCTGCTGGTGACCCTACAACGCTAAATAAAGTGATTCCTAGTAAAATCACAATGATCCAGCAATAAACATTTAAATGTCGTTATTGACTACCGTTTTCGTCGAGAAACATTAACACCTTCCAGTAAGTTGTATTGCGGTAGGCATGCTAAGTGCCTACCTAATTTCAAAACATAGTAATCAACAATACAGTAACTTAACATGAAATTTAAATTTTCTGTACGCAATTTTATTCAGAGATACACTAAAAACTATGAATAAGTTACTGACTATGGTTGGTAGGTACTTAGATGTTCTCTAAAAATATCAAAAAGTTGAGGCCTCAACATACAATCAAACTCCTTTTCCGCGACACTGGCCAATAAGTAATTGACATTTTTTTTCTTAAACCGATTTAAATTCTCGATTTATTGTTTTTCTCTCCAACACTTCAATCGCGGTAAACCTTTTTGCGCTTCTGGCCACTAAGAAATTTATTTTTCTTAAACCAGTTGCGATCCTCAATTGTTTTTTCTTTCGGGAATTTTAATCGCGGTATTTTAATTTCTACGAGTATAATGTGTTCGGTGCAATATAATTTTATTTATCAAATCAAGGACCACTTGTATAATAATGATGAAAATGATGGATTTACACACGAAAAATAATTAAGTTTTCTCTTGTGAGTACTTATCTGATAATATTTTTTAATTGTTTTATGACTATCTTACCTTACAGGTCCCCTGCACGCATATGGCCCGGTACCCTGGCTTCGTGCACGGGGTCCCATCGGCCACCAGAGCCAACGACGCGTAGAACTGCTGCCCCAGAGGCCGACAGTTCAGGGTGCATGGAGAATCACCTGGGTAAAGAACTTTAAATTAATTTCCAACCAGGTACGTGTATCTTACTTGTTTTAAAAAAACATAGCTATATCTAGTGATATTTAGGCTTGGTTCAGACATTAGCGATAACCGCGCGGTTTTTAGGAGGTTCTAATAAATTCTTACATCAAACTGTACCGCACGGTTACAGCTTCAATCCATAATGAGAAAGAACTATCAATGAGAACCAGAAACCGCGTGGTATCGCGCGTGTCTGAACTAGGCCTTAAAAGGCACTTTACAAATACATACTAGTGTGATTGATATAAGACATTAGCAGAGTAAATACAAATGAGTGAGAATCGGCGCAACTGCCCGCTAATCAACGCTAAATTTTGTCAGTGTGTGCGTGCGCGCCGCATACGTATTGGCGCGCTCACATACAAACCGCACTCGGTGCGTTTCTATGAAGATGACCTACTCATTTGTATTTACTCTGACATTAGGTTCTATCAAAAGGTATTATTAGTGTGCACGTCCTTAGTGTCCTTACCCCCAGTTTCATGATAATGTAAGTATTTACAATTTATCATAATATATTAATAAATCAATGAAAAATTGTTTCATAACTTGATAAGTAGATAAAAGTGATCAAGGGTCATAATAATATGAGTCACAATAATTATGAGTAATAATACGATTTGTATATTCCTACTTAATTTTGTTTTTTATAACTGTTTTGCTTCGTTGTTTTGTTTTGCTATTCCCAACCTGAACAAGTTATAACTAGATTAGACTATCTAATTATCTAGAAAAATGATTCAATATTATCATGAATAAAATGTAGAGGATTTTATGTTATAATATCAGGACATAATCTTTAATGATATAGGTACACTAACAAAGTACGTATTACTTAAGTGTTGAATGTATAGTAAATAAGTAATCAAAACCGAATTAATTCTCATATTAATTACATAGTTATTCAGTGTCCATTACCTGTGATTAATTTACAACATTATGTAATGCAAGCCTTTAATGGTGTACGAGTCACGTAGGACATATTTATCATATTTTACATTATAATAAGTAAGACTTGACTTAAAGTTAGTTTACATAACATTGGGTACGTTGTGTTTTGACAATAGGTGGGGACCGCACCCAAGACAGTAAATTGATTTTAATCCTTATCTGTTGCGATAATAAACAACGGATTACATAGTGTGTACACTGTACATTAATAATCTTTGATATAACTAGGAGTAGCTTTTGGCCGTGCCTTCTTCACCCATTAAGATATACATATAAATGCACATTTTCTCCATCAATCCCTTATTTTAAATGACCTCTATGAAAACAAAACTCCTGTTATGTGTTACCATAGGGGTCACATAAAAATTACGAATTGGTGATGAGAATGGCTAACTGACGTGAAACTAGTCTAGCTATCTGGCTGGTTTTGCTTGCGTGGCTTGCGACTCCTAGCTCTCACACATCATCATCATCATCATTTTAGTCTACATGCCAGGATTGCTGCTCTTAAAATTACCAAAAGCCAATTGATAATTTGGCTTACACTCCCCAGGAACTGTCAGACGGCTAACGTGGGAAAGTTCTAAAGTACAGTTTAGAAAAACTTCCCACTCGGTGGAACTAGTGAAGGTCGCTAGAAGCACCTAAATGCGTGCATCACAGGATCTATGCTTAAGGAAAATCCTTGGGAGATACTTTGTCCAGCCGTGGACATCTTTCGGTTGAACTCACCGTCTATGTAAGGAACCCAGGTGTAGAATCGTCCTCGAAACGGACGTCTGTCGTATACCGCGCACTGCTCGGCCCGCAAGTCCGTCTCGCCTTTGGAACATGGCTAAAATTAAACAAAATATTTAGTCAGAAAACTTTAAATAAGTAAATATTATAACTTTCTTTTGATAAGCATTAATAAGTATTTTCCAGGATTGAACTCGAATTCGATATCGTTTTTCTTTTTCTGGGAAAAGAAATATGAACAAACGTGAAAGAGGTGAAACGTACTCAAACGAATTGTACCTACACTTTGAAAATTTCCAACCTGAGCAAGTTATAATTTATGTAATAATTTCAGTTTCAGTCATGTTCATTTAGGTAAGTATATTCCAGAACTAAAGCACTACACGCAAACGTTACGGACATAACTCATGCATTTACTATAACTATTCAAACAAATCCATATGAATTGAACAATACTAATCACGGAAACATTTATGGTCCATTCTCATAAATCTTTACATTTTATACGCAGGATTGCTTCAGCCAGATCAATGTGAATCGCAAATCAATGAACAGTCAGCGTCAAATATTTCGCGACACCCAAAGTGGCCAAAAAGTTGACAACACAACCTTATTCCAATAGACAACAACAATTTCAATTTTTTGTCCGTCAGACAGATAATTAGAAAATATTAGACTCATTATTTTTTATTTTCTTTCATAATTAAATAATAACAGTGCTACATCGAGTTGAAATGGCGCGTTAGGTCACGCTTGAGTAGAATTTTTACTCAAAAGTGACGTCACGCGACATTTCAACTCAATATAATACTGTAATATTATTCGATTATGAAAAAAATTCAAAAATATGGGTCCAAAACTTTTTTATTATCTGTCTGACGGACTAAATAGAATTTCGATTTCATTACCCAGTCATCATTCCTATTGTAACTAAGACGTGTTGCGAACTTTTTGGCTACTTTGGGTGTCACGAAATATATGATGCTCACTGTACAAACCATAGAAGCCATCATTTTAAGGTACATTAGGTATGTCGTGAGAAATAAATGACTCAGGAATTCAGGATTTACATTGCAGTTGTTTTGCTAGTAAATTCTGGTTCTAGATTCGCTCACGACTATGTGCGTGCGCATAGGAGAGTTAGCGCAAATAACTGTACCTAATAAGTACTTTGTTATTATCCACACTAATTTTACAAATAGCTAGTGGAAATTTGTATACTTGCAACAACAGTATGTTGGTAATCTAAACCAGATATTCTTGACGGATCTTTATTCGATGAAAGTGCAGTTTCTAATCGATGGACGTTATCGATTGTCCTTATAATAATCTACAAGTAATATTTGTTAACAGATAGACTGCTTTGGTCATTGGCATTATAATTACACTTTTGATTAAAATCAATGTTCAATTGACATTGGCATGATATAATAATACTGATAATTTGTAGGTCAATACTGATTATCGTTGTGTTAGATAGTTTTAATTGCATATTTGTTCCCTGAGTCATTGAATAAGTAGAAAAAAATATCTTCAAATGATTTTTCAGAAACTATGTGTCATTTTCAAGAGGAATAATGTGGCCAGACCCATTTCGGATACTTCAGACATTGAAAAATGATGCAATTAGTGAGGACTTCTTCAGGGACCATTTTGTTAAAATGCTTATCTCAAGGAAGATACAATTTTCCTAGTAATTTAATTAATTCCTTATTCTCTTTTTAATAAGTCCTTATCAAACATCTAAGCCAGGATTCAAATGTTTTTGTCATCCTGCATCTAAGAAAAAAAGTAGAATTGTTTTTTGCGTTACTGTAGCGCTATGTCTTACCTACTGGTTGAGTCTATACCAGTACTTCTAGCCAAATGGCCTGAATTATGCCGTTCTGGTCCTCATGGCGTCACATCAGAAGATACTTTTTGTCTTATCCTATGATTCAAGGAACAAACTACATAATAATGTTAGTTCTCACAGCAGTATTACACTCGTGATATCGGCGCGCTACGCCGAGGCAGTCGCGCGTCTGTCGCGTCACTCGCACGGTGATCACCGGCGGTGGCAGGGGAGGCGGCAGGGGTGATGACAGGGGAGGTGGTATCGTTATGTTGGCAGCTGTACTTCTGGATCTGTAACAAAGGTAACTGGAAGTTAAAAACAAATTAATAATAGTCCCATTAACTATGTACTAAGCTAAATAAGCTAGTGTCACGAGTGAGCTCACCACAATAGTCGAGCGGCGGGATTCGAACCCGCGTTTCTCAGATCGGCCAGTCCGACCCCTTCACCGTTCGGCTATAGTTACTTTCAACTTTACGTTGTCAAATTTATCAACTTTACGTTGACATTCTACAAATTATAGCCTACTTTTGCCAGCAGTGAATTGTGGGTCCGGCGCAGGACCGGTCTTTGTGGAAATCCTTGGGGGAGGCCTTTGTCCAGCAGTGGACGTCTTTCGGCTGAAACGACGACGACGAATTGTGGGTCTATTACAAAACGACTAATACGCTTGCATGTCTTAAAAAAATCTGGGTGTCTGTACTAAGTTTCATCAAAATCTTTTCGGTAGTTTAAGCGTGAAAAGCTAGCTCTTATACTCGAAATTACTTGCCTCACGATTGCCTTGTCTTCAAATCATTTCTTAATTTTAATTAAAGACCATCAATCTGATCGTTTACCCCTAATTACTTTTAAAAAACAACGGCGGCCTCACAAAAGAAGCTAATGAAATCATGTCAGTAACAAATAACTTGAAACGCGTAATCTAATTTGAGGCAAAATAAAAGAAACTATCTGGAATATTAGTCGAAGCCTCGCTTACAAATGTAACCTCCTCGGAACAGGACTTAGACGTTAAATTAAAGCTGCCTTGGACATAGCTAAATGAAAACAGCTATCTCACTTCATTATGATTGTTAAGTAAAATGTTATTACTACTGAAAGCTTGAATAAAAATGAATTTGAACCTGAGTGAATCTGAAAGCACATTTTGATAAAGTTCGGATTTTTTAAGTAATCATAAACTTGCAGCAAAATGTTTCAAATAGCATAAATTGTAGTACTTCAACAGTAAGGAGTACCTACCCATTGCTTCAAATACCGTTTTGATACGCTTGAGTACATTAAGTAAAGTAACCTAGGTACATAGCCCGCAGAATTGCCAAACCTATAAAAAACCTGGATGCGGGCAACGCAAAACTGATCGTTGTGGTAACCTTTGGGGGAGGCCTTTGTCCAGCAGTGAACGTATTTTGGCTGAAACGAACGAACATGTCTACACTCTATGAAGCTGTCTGTTCTATATTATCTGCATACAGCGCCCTACCTATAGAACAGAATCTTTGAATATTCATGTCCAACGTAATGATTGGTTCCACTTGGTACCCACACTTGCACCGTTTATCAGAAACTATTTAATGATAAGTGAGTACCATCATTAGCCGTGGCGCCGGGCGAGAGGGTAATGCCAGATTTTAATTAAAGATAGTTCAGATCGACCTTCTATGGACTAATAATCAATCAGGGAAAATAGACGAGCGGGCTGAAATTTACATATTATTAATTTTTTTTTTTTTAGTATATTTTGGAACAACAAACAATTACACTTATAAATTAAGTATAAAACATGGACATAGAACACATATTAGGTAAAAGCGTAATCAGCCCCGTTGTCCACAGATAGAGTAACAAAATATGTGGAAAAGATGTCGGTATAAACTAAAATTTGTGTGCTTAGTGCACAAATTATAATAGCCTAAATGGCACTCTGGTGTAATATAAATAGTTTCATCAAAATCCGTTCGGCAGCTTTCCATTCCGTTTGGTGCTTAACAAAACATCATAAGTGCCACTTGTGGTCTAAACTGAATAAATATTTTTGATTTTGATTTTGATTTTGATTTTGAAACATTAGATTTTTTTAAAAAAATTAAGTCTAGATCTAGAAAAACAAACATCAACCATCACAAACTCACATCCTCGATAGATTGGTGCAATGCTTTTCTGAACGAGGCAGGTGAGCTTGCGAAGAGTTCAAGTTCGGTGAAATGAGAGTTGAACATTTTAGTAATTCTATACAGCGGCGCGCGCTCACCTGCATTCGTTTTACATGGAGCGTGTGCGAATAATTGCGGTTTACGGGTCTCCCGTGTAGGATATGAACGGTATGGTGGTAATAATCATTTAAGTGAAACAGTTTTCCGGGATACAACTAGGTTTATTAATATTTATAATAATATTAAAGATGTCTATCTGTTTCACCGTTTGTTACGTTTTCATGGGTTTTCTAAATCAATTTAAATAAGTAGAGAAATGTAGAAAAAAGACATAGACTATCTATTGGCCCAAAAAATTTACTTCACTATCGGTACCGTATAATAGAACTAATTCTTACAATAATTACGTTAAAAGATAAACTTAAAAATACCAACCGAATGGAGAACCTCCTCCTTTTGTTGAAGTTGGTTAAAATATAATCAACACCAGTGAAATTATTGACAGTGTTGTGACATAACATTCCCACGATAAGTACAAAAATCTTTCGTAATTCCTAATTCCACGGCTATTCTATCAAAATTAACTTTCGGCAGTCACAATAACTTTTCACTTTTAAAATGAGAGAGTAAATGAGTTATTAAGGTGTTATTTAATGTTAAATAAAGTCAAATGATTACCCCATCAATCACATTAACTATCATCTTATCGAAAACCTCAAAATTCTCGCCTTTGTGAAGTATAAGTGCTTTTAAAGCATTACACAAACGACTTTAAGCTATAACTCAAAGACTCTTTATTGCTTGTCTAATGAAATGTGTACACTGTCCGAATAACAGTATAGGCCTAGAGCCAGCCAGCACACAATAAAAATTTCACTCTTTTTTAAAACCTTATAATGTGGTGTGTGACTGTGTCAATTAAAGTTCAGTAGTCAATAGAATTAACTTTTTAAGTTAAAAACACATATTTTACGGTGATTGTTTGTAAGTTGTTCCTTTTGCAACCATTTTGCAAAACGTACTTACAATTTGTACAGACAACGTCATATTAAGCTAAACATTGTGGTAGGTATTATTCATTTATAATTTCGTAATCTATGTACCGAAACCCAGTTATGAATGAAACCTACTTATCTATCTTTCCTAAAACACTTCATACTCGTATAAAACTAACGCCAGCGCCAGCAACAATAAAGTCAAGCACCTTATCCCTTGGACTACACATGACAAATGACGATCATCTTAATTTGTCAAGGATATTTACGGCCTGTATCAGCAGGATACTACGTTTAATGAGAGAATGTTCTCCATACACATAATTTAAACACACTCTATTGGGTTATATTGAGTCGTAAACAGTAGATATCTTACACGCAATAAAATATCTTAAGAAGCTTGTCCTGTAAAAGGCCACAAATACTTCAAGCATAGAGTTATGGTGCTTGTAAAATAGTCACATTAAATGAAGAGATAGACTCATCTGGCCACGATAAAATCATTGCAATTAAATTGACGTTTTATTATGAAGTTCATGAAGTTATTGGGACTTAATGTAAATTATAGATTGCCGTTTCAGTCTCACAGTAAAACATGACCACCCAATACAAATGCAATAGAGCTCGGACACTACAGCACTTATCTATTGTGACTAAAATTATAGCTTTAGATGAGCCTATACTAGATAGGATTGTTTCTTTACTGGATTGAACTCATTTAAGTTGCAGTATTATGATAACTAGACTTCTTAGGCTGGGTTGCACCATACCTGTTACTTTAACAAACGTCAAACGTGTCTCAAAACCATACAAAAAACACCGGCTATTGTTTATAATAAGGAATGCCAGTCAGCCTTAGTGGCCCACACCAAGTATTTTAAGCGCGCTATCGACGTTCGTTAGATGGCATAGGCCCCTAAATGAATCTGGAATGGCTCATAGGACCATTTTTTAAAAGTACCCCATCTGAAAATTGAATGCGGGACCAGAGCACCAATAATGTTAAACTCAATATCTAGATCACTAGGTTTTACTATTATGTCCTTTTACTCTACAACATTATCTTAATTTCTGCATAGAGATAAGCATCTTTACAGAAGTACACGATAATTTTATTACGATTAAGTCCATTCGGTTAATGATGCCATTACAAGATTAGCTTAACATAAAACTGCATAATCTTAGATGTAACCGGTATTTATTTTATCTTCAAACACGTTAGTTTTTGTAGCAATTTCCATAGATTTGTTTAACGTTGATGTAGTTAGATACCAAAAAGTGGATTAATATTACAGGCAAAGTTATATTACTCGTACTACTTATATCATTGCAAATGACTTTATAATAATAACCGGTTAATTTTGCCTACTTTTGGTGAACATGGTGTAGGGCCCACGTTTATTTCTCTCCATTTTTTTCCTAACTCTCCATAGAGCGCCACAACCCGAAACCTAAACTAGGATAGCAGTTCACTAGATGGGAAACCTAATTCAAAATAAATGCTACTTTATATAGGTACCTACTGATTGTAATTAACATCCACTTACCAAACACGACCGACCTTACAATTACCGCTAGCCTTCCTCAACAGAAGGATTTGGATATCGTCCATCATTTTCACTCATTCGAGAAATCTGGTACGTGTGAGAGAGACGAACAGAATTCCATCTGCGAAATAACCCCCTGGATATAACGGATTGGTTTATAGTTATTAATGATGACGGAGGATTTGTTATGGCTAGAGGATAATGGTGGCCCCTATTATGAGAGGGGAATGCGTACGCGCACAGATTGGCAGTACAGTTAGAAATTAATGTTATGACTGTGATGGTTAATAAAGAGTTTTAATGGGAACGTAAAGTTATGCACTTACTAGGTTATACGCATGCACGCTTTCAAGATTGTAATTTTGTTGGGTTAAAAATTATGAGTAAGAATACATTTAATATGTATTTACAAAATACTTCTTGGTTACTTTTTAAAATAAACAATAATTTACTGCTCTTTTTAGGGTGGGCATGGGCATGAGTAATAGAAAAAGTCACAATGTTCTGAAAAACTGCTCATAAACATAAAGCGTAGTTCCAGAAAAAAATGCTAGACGTAAAATTCTAAATTAATATCAATCTTGGCACTTTGCTATGGTATTGCGCAAAAGTAATTTAACCTCAAATGTCAGGCCTAGAAAATGCGGCAAATTGTACAGTAGCCGCGTACTTTCCCGGGGACTGTATTATTACCAGCCCCCAGTCACGCTTCACCTAGTCTAGTCCGATGGACTTTGAAATTTCACTTACAATGCTGCCTTACTGATCCATAAACTTGACCGGCTTTTTTAATACAACCTCGTAAAGCAATTTTCAGCGTTAAATTCAATAATGAAATTGTTTAATGTTAGTGCAGACTATCTATCACACTTGGATCGCAAGAAGTAAATTAGTCGATTTACCTATCTTCTTATACGAGTAAAGGAACCAATGAATTTTTTGACATGTGGTAGAGTATTATGTTCAAGAGAACAGCAGTTAAAATGTTCCCTCCAGTACATTGTCAAGGAAAGTCAAAGGTGCATAGGAAAATAAGGAGTTAAAAACTATATTTTTGAAAAAAGGCTCCCGTTTGGGTGAGCGTGACGTTTTGGTGACGTATTCTTGAACCATGGCCTTCTTATTCGCATATAATGATTTCTTCTAAAATTGCTTCTGGAATTCTATTGCTTCTAATATAAATAAAACTCATAAAAAGTTTTTAAAACTCATAAAACTCATTTTATTTTTGCAAGTAGGCTTTTAAAAAGCCCTTTTACACGTCCCAGTATTAACTATACCACTTCCTGGCAATCCCCCTGTTTTGTATCCGTCTCAGATCCATTGGCTTAAGACAATTTATCTTAAACTAAAGACTAAGCCTTCATGAAACAAAATAAAACATGTGTACACTCAAGTGTATAAGTGTAGGGTAATTGCAGTTCATTACCGACTATGTGTGCGAGTGATGCACGTCAATCAAGGAGTGCAAGCAATCAATAGCACTCGCCATTGGTTCCCAAAGTTTATGCGAAAGTACCAGCTGTTTGCATTTAATTAATATATTCACGAGCTGGAAGACGTAGCGTGGGTAGGCCTCCCACTAGGTGGACCGACGATCTGGATGCGTGCGGCGCAGGACCGGTCTTTGTGGAAATCCTTGGGGGGTCTTTGTCCAGCAGTGGACGTCTCTCGGCTCGAACGAACGAACGAATATTATATTCTTTTATATTGCACACTGCTCCATTAGTTGCGAACTCAGCAAAGCTTTTACAGTTGGTATTGTTTTATTGGTAACACAAATAACATACTTCACGCTCGCTTTTGAGTTTGATCTTTTTGAGTGCCATTTGCTTTATTCATAAGTAAAATTTGCACTAAATAATTAATTAATCAAACTTAGTACCTACCCTTTCCATAGTTTACATTTGGACATTTCAGTAACATGGTATCAATTTGCTTACTCTATAACTATACAACAGAAAACAAAAGAAATTTATTATAGCCTTTTCATTATTATATTGTTGAAAGTTTGAGAAACACAAGCGTTTAACAATAACACCTTGTTATAGGCCCTCTTAAGGGTCACACTCGTTTGGCGCTTAAAAACCGTGCGGGCCGGGTCGCCGGGGCATCTTTAACCTCTGATCTGCGAGCGGCCTTTACACTTGGCGAATTGGTTTATTATTTCTCAATTATTATTTTTATAACTTGAGAATTTTATCTGTTAGAATAAAATTAAGTAGTCTCATAAGAGACGAGAGAGGAAAAATTTCTAAATAGGGTTTTTTATAACGATGATTTTTATGCCTGCATTTTTTTCCGCCCTCGGAGCTAATAGTACCTACGTGCAAAGATTTCTAAAAGATTTAATTTCTAGAAGCTTTCAAGTTTTCAGTTTCTTTTTAGTTATTAAAATACCTTTAAGGTCATAAAAAAGATTGACGTCAATAAAATATACTAAATACCTAAACATCAATTACCATTTTAAAAGTAACCATGTGAAATCACCTGAACTAGAATCGGAAGTTACTCATAACGTATAATTTAAGCAGCTTCTGCCAAAACAAGTATCGTTATTACTTAATTAATGTAGTGAAAGTATCGGTAATTTTCAAACGTTTACTTCTTTATAAATATGCGGGCGTCAAAGAAATAAATCAGAAAGCGCTATTAATTTTGTCTTGTTAATAGTTTGGTGTAGATTTATTTAAGACTACATATCACCACCGGTGTGTTACATGTCATAATTCGGCGGCGGATACACGAACATTCCGCAGTGAGCATATTCAGTAATTTATCAGTAAAAAGAAAATGCCTCTTTTAAAGGTAGCATAGCTAATATTTTCGAGTTTTTATAAACATAATAACTCAATCCCAGTTGTAACATATAACTAGCTACTGTTCACAATACCACCCGAGTGGGTGTAATTTACTTACAACTAATTGCTTTACAAAATCCATTTAGACCTTGCGTTAAAAATAGACTTGGAGCTTTCCAAAAAAAGTGCTCTTCAGCGAATCTTGTTACACGTTAGTAAAGACGTACCTTAAAATCGAATGGTGTAAAGGCTGCCTAAAGCGAAACGCTGTAATGAGCGGATAAACGGTCGGTGTTTATAATTTTTGCTTTTATACTTATACGCTTTACAAGCTTATGCGATAATAACTAACGCCTTGTAGGTACTTGTAGCTTAAATGACAGCACGTGCTTGAATGGGAAATTGTAATTTAATTTAAGTAGTATGCATTTATATTAGTACAAGACAGTGGGAAAATTATTTTTCATCGTTATTTAAAAGTTCGGTTGCTTGCTATTACAATATACTCGTACTAAAGAAATGTTGCACCCACTGTCTGAACGTCATATCAGGAGACTTTTAGGTAGCAAAAATATAAACTCACTTGTATGATCTAATACACACCTTAATTGAGCCTTTTTGATAAGACTATGAGACTATGACTATGACTATGAATTTTTATAAATAATATTCCTTTTGCTTATTATTTGAGCTAGAAAAAAAACTTACGAACTTACGTACTATCACGAACTAGTAGCCGTTTACCTTATAGGACAGCAAACTGAAATTAATGTAAATTAAAATACACTCACTTCAAGTTCCACGTTTCATCAGTAACATGTATTGCTATGGTTGTTATGGTAACTGTGTGCTAACTTTCTTATAATTATGTAAAGAGTTATATATAAGGTGTACAATATGTAACGTATTTATGAGGTATTTATATTATTATGTATCATGATTCATAAGAAATTGTTGTGCTCTGTAGTGCTCTCCCTGTTTGGGTGTCCACGGAAGACCAGCGTCGTGGCATTATCTACTGAGATGCTACGACACCATGCTGAGTGGATACCTTTTCAGTATCATTGTAATTACCTTCTCATTAAATAATGTTAAGTATTGCAAGTGTATTGTCGATGATACTGAATAAACATTTTTTCTTTCTTTCTTTCTTTCTTTCTTTCAAAATATTTTTTTCTAAAATATCTCCAAAATATGCATTTGCAGCAACTTCCATAACAGTTTGCACAATAGCAACACATCAAAAACTCGTAGCATAGCCTCCTAATTTTTACTTAAAACAACGTCTTAAATACGCAGTCAAAACTAGCGATTTTTATTCTTAATCTATTTTTCAACCGAGCAAAACCACAGCTAAACACTAGTGTGGCGCTTTTTTGCGAAGCTTACAATTAAACGATTGGATTGATGAACGAGACATTGATGTGCTAATTGAAGGCATTAACTATCGGTAACTGATAGACGTCGTGCTGTAGAGGCGATAAGTAAAAGTGATTCGGACGCCTTATAGCTTGTAGAGTCTCTTTTTTGCTGTGCGATCGTGTGAAATTGATACGAAAGGTGTTTTTATCGAATAAGTGGGTAATTAAAACCTCATGAAAATACAGAGCTTCTCAGTAGGTATTGTAGCTCTAAGTATCCCTCAAAACTATTGGGTTTTGCAAAAAAAAAAGTGATTCAAAGCACCGATCTGGTATGCTATTTGGTCTTACTTATTTGTATGATTGCTTATTTCTATTAGCACGAAAAACTAGGAGTATACATGTATCATCAACATATCAAACAGACTCTACGTCACACTATATGCCTTTAAACTTGCAGTTTTGTTTTCCTTAAACAGTAAGGGCGCCTTCTCATTAGAGGCGTGAGGTGACGCTGCAGTGGGCGCCACTGAATTTAATTTGAAGGCGCCCTAATAGTTCCCCTAATACTTGCATCAAATAAATACTTTTCTTTCTTTCCCCTGTTCCCAAAAGGGAGCATAGTAACCTGGGTAAGCACTGCCTCTCCTGTACCGCCACTCCTCCCCCACAGGACATGGAGCAGGCGCTCCAGCTGCCCCACGCACTCCATGTGTACCCGCTGACTGGCTCGGACTCCTGGAATTAATATTACGACACAGTTAACTTGGTTGTGATGAAGTGTTACACTTATTACAGACTAAGGCTGAGTTCCACCACCAAACTTTGACCGTAACGATAACCGGTGACTTTTGTATGGAGTTTGACAGATTTTTGACGTTTGTCAAAGTTAAAGTATAATGGTGCAACCCAGCCTAAAGCTGCTGTTAATATGACCTTAGGCGATCACGTAATAGACTACTGAGTATGCTACTGAAACATAATGTGATAGATAGCAAGAAACTAAGTCTGGGTTGCACCATCTTACTTTACCTTTAACAAACGTCAAAAATCTGTTAAAATCCATTCAAAAAACACCGGTTATCGTCAAAATTACGGTCAAAGTTAGGTGGTGCAACTAAGCCTAAGAGACAATGTTATGCTTACCGGTGGTAATTCAGTTGTGACATTCAGTGCTGTAGTGAACATTGCTAATTGTAATATTGCAGCAGCCCTGAAAACAAAATGATTACATTTTAGAAATCATCAATTCAATTACTAGTCAACAAACATCAGTATCATTTTCTATACCTAGTACGGTTGCTAGCACTTCAGACGGCAAAGTCTAAATGATTAAATCTACGTTTTGCAAAATTCATAGTAATTTCGTAAGGTACTTAATCCTGACATTACAAATGGCTGATTCAGCAATAAATACTAGAAGTATACAGGGAAAGGGATAGACAGATTAATTTGTTGGCAAATAGCCCCTGGTAATGATCCCATAAATCGATGCTAGCGTATAAAACCAGAACCAATCAGACGCTAACAAGAGACGTGGAAAACGATGCTAGATGTAACAATTTCCTACGTGCAACATCTGACCAATTGACGACCATAGTCTAAAAAGAAAAGTAAGTGTTTTCAATTACGTATTTGGTATCTAACACACTGAAGGTATTCATTTTTTCTGAATTATAGGAACTAGAGACGAGAAAATTACCTCATCACTCGTTCTAAATTACTACTCTTTATTTTTTCAATAATTTGATTCAGTAAAATTTCACAGTCTCTCCAATCACAATCATACAAAGCTGTGAATTCTAACCATATTTACGATCATTCCTAAAGCACCAATCAATTGACATTTATAAGGGCTATCAAAATTGTTTCTTCCAGTGTCTTGTTTCTGATTATTGATGCCAACTAACTAAACCAATTTGAGAATAACAAAATCCAACAGCAAACTAAAGCTTTCGATTTATTTCGTAAAACACCATTCTAAGTCCATGTTTAGGCACTTTACATGTTTGGACGCTAAAAAAGCAAATAATGTTTACATTGCATGCACAGTAAATTGGTTACGGAAAGTGGATCGTTGTCAAGTTAGCTTATCCGATAACTCTAAGTTAAACACCTCGTCCAAGACAATGGTAAGTGGATGGTTAGTGCTTATTACGCCGTGGGAGACACCGCGCCTCGTTAGGCTGGTGTCGTGAATGAGGATGCTGTACGGACTTTTGATAATGATATGCCTAAACAGGATGGTCGAAATGATGTCTTTTTTTGGTCTAAAGAATGACTTCTTAATAATAGAAACGTCGGTAAAGAAAATACTTTTTTAGCATAAAATGTTCGCAAGATCTCATTATTTTAAAGTGACATTTTTAGGCTGAGTTGTATCAGCACCTAACTTTAACAGTAACTATAACGATAACCCGTGTTTTTTGTATGGAGTTTGATAGATTTGTGACGTTTGTTAAAGTCGCAAAAAGCCTTATGCCCTTTTTCACCATCAATCCCTAATTTTTAAGTGACCCAATGTTTTATAGTGAAAACGGGCATTAGCCTCTCACAAAAATGTTTTAATACTCGTATTCTCAAAAACTTTGTTTGCATCGTGTAAGGTATTTAGGGAGATCTACCTTTTCGTGTTTACCAAAAATAGTTTCCAAGGAAAATTTGAATCTCTACAATTCCAGGAATTGACATCATACCTTTTGTCTGGTTAAACCGTTATGTTTTGGCAGGAACCAACTAATACCATAATAATAAAACTGAATTAGATGAGGTAATGTAGAAGTTGAGATCTCATTATGCTAAACTACTATGCATGATTTTACCTTAACTGTAATTCGTGTAGCTATTGTAAGGATCTAATTTATATTCATTCAGTCTAGTTATTCCACTTATCGTCTAGGTATTTAATTCGATCTAGGTGGTTGTAAGGACTAGGTAACATTAATGCACTGACAATGCGAATTAGTGGCAGCTGAAAGTTTAATTAGTACAAAGATTCACACCTGCCTATGCAAGTCTAGTAGTGGACTTTGTTATACCTAGGTATTATTTAGACGTATCCGTGTGTGTGCTAGGATCAGTACTACATTAAAGACAAAAATGTGCAGAAAGTAGGTAGGTACTTAGCTCGCGTCAAAAAAGATAAGTAACTTATTTTACATGTAATAATGTCAATAATGTCCGCTCCTCGAGTTGTCTGGAAAAAATTGCTTCCTAACAATAATACTGCTTCACCGTTTCAATTTTTTGTTTCTCGTGTGATGTTCAATAAAAAGTACCTCTGTCTAACTCCAGTTACCCAATCTTATCATGCCATTTAAAAAATTACTCACTTCCAACCTTAGAAATGAGACATTCTTGTACATTTCCCACAAAATTGCGCAACTTGACAACTCTATTACCCAGAAATTTTCCCAAGCAGTTGCCTTGCCTAAAAGCTTACAGTCCATAAAACAATAGTATGTCAAATATTTATACAAATAAAAAGAAGAGTATCGTAAATCAGAGTGAGTCATAGATACGGCTCGAAGTATAAGCTGTTCTCCCTGAGTTGTGCAATTGACAACTCAATTAGATCTTTAGAAGATCGAATAACTACTAAACTAAAAGACATTCTGATAGATTTGTGTTGAAAAACAAATAACGCATTTTTATAACGATGACAATCAGAAAAGGAAAAATATACACTGAATCCAGCAACATCTTTTCATAGTTTTCTTCTTCTTTCTGTCTTATAACATAAACATACTTTTCTTTTACGCTTATTAAAACTATTTTCGCCTTTTCGATTCCAGCTCGCTTTCAGTTCCATAGACTTAACATGCAGAAACCTATAAATACTCTTAATAGCTCTTTAAGTTCCAAAATTACACGTTTTAAAACGAATCACAGTTCACAACCAATTTACACTTGAAAATGCATCATCTACATCGAAGCGCTAAATTTTCGACGCGTACGCATGCTCGCATTAAAGCGATCGAACGACCGTGTATAACACTCTAATGAGCGGCTAAGTGGTTTATTAAGTGCCGAACGCCGTTATTTTTATGTCAGAGTCGTAACGTGGCCGAAGGATGGTACTGTCACACGATTATGTCTTTAAGTGAAAGTTCTTTTGGATTTACTGCAGAAAGTAAGTAATCTGAAAGTATTGGTTTTAGTACGTATAAAATAAAAAATGTATTTTGAAGACAATTATTATACTTTTGTAACCTGTAGGTGGACAGATTATCTCAGAAATGAAGCAGGAAGGTTCAGAAGTGGACATCCTGTGCCTGAAATGATGATGATGATGATAAACTTGTAGACGATATCAACAAAATAAACTGTATTTAAGCCCGCAACTAATCTAAATTATCTACACTAAGAAATCAAAGTTGAAGACTTTCCTTCTCAATCAAACTCATAAGTAAGTACCTACTTATTATGTAAAGGAACCAATTTCGATATTAAACGGAAATAATTACAAGCATCTATGTTTTATACCATAAAATATAAATTACTTGTCAAACCAATTAAACCGATCTCATCATTTTCACACCACGGACTGGAAATAGAAACATCGATAAATTACAATCCAATAGTTGTTCGAGTTAAACTCATCTTGTTACATAAAATTAAACATGTTTAACTTGCCACAAAGATACAGATCTGCTGACAGTAGTGATTACTAATGTAGATTGCTATCTTCATTCGAATTAACATGTCAATAGTTGAATAGATTTACGCGGACGCCTCGGGCTTCGAGGACCAGAATGGCAGTAGATAAATAAATAAGATGCTACGCAATAATAAATAATAACATAAACAAAATGTGTCTAAACGTAAAATAATACAGACAAATATGGTTTTACAGTGTCTGCTAAACATTGGTTCGTACTATAACTGTGCAGATTGGTTTAACTGCACCCTGTGGAACGTTTAGGTATATCAGCTCAAAACTGGCAAACATTAGGATATTAGCTCGAAGAATATAGATATCCTATAAATAAAATAAAGTTGTCTTTGATTCTATCATAAGAACATATCAAAATGACATCTCTAGAAGTCATCCACTATAAAGGATGACTTCTAGATGTTTTTCAACCTTTTTCATGACACGACCCCCCTAGTATGAAAAAATATTTGGCGGCCCCCCGACCACAATCCCGACCGTTCGCTTTTTTTTAATGCATTTTATAATGTTACAAAGATGTTGTAGGGACCGTATACTTCAATCTATACAACATTTACGCATTTTCATAATTAGATTTCAGACAATTTTTTTTATTTATTTTCTTAAAACTTTATTATTTATTTTACTGAGAGAGTTTTTCGAACTTTCGCGACCCCCCTACAAAGGCTTCGCGACCCCCCAGGGGGTCGCGACCCACAGGTTGAAAAACACTGCTTTATAGTATCTTCATAAAGCTCGTCAGCGTCACATTAACTTTAGTTAGTAACGAGAGAAAAGATTTAAGAACTCGTATGAAATGTATCTTCCACACACTTTACAGTTGTTTTCATACTCATTTCCTAGATAAACGACTAAACGCGCTGACAGGCTTATAGGGTGGGCTGTTCCCTGGAAATCGTAAAAATACGAAAATAACCATCATTTAAAACTCATCAAGAGCATGTACGAAAATTACCTACTCTTAAAAATTTTACGAGTTATAAATCAGGGGTGTTAACTATTTAGAAACGTTTACATTTTTGATTTTCGTGGAGCGGATATTTACGGCATGGTTACAAAAATGAATATTCTGTTATACATTGTTTAGTTCTCCTGCTTTCCAGATATCCGATGGTCAGAGAATTGGGCTCTGCCTCTGGAAGATTAGCTTCAATTCCGAGTGGGAACCACGACCCATACGAGACTACTCATCAAATAAAAAACTACTTTTGTGTCCCTAACAATACTTATTGATAAGATAATTTTGGATAAATTAATTAGTGGAAAAACAAGTTACTTTTCCGACAGAGCTTATTATTACGAGGTAGAACTTACATAAAAATACATCATTAAAATACAATAATACGTATAACAATGCATACTTTCAAACTGGCGCCATTATTTAAAGAGCAAACTTTACTAGCAATTAATACCATTTGTTTGTAAACAAAGTATTTACAACAGAGTGCATCTCAATTGAGAGTGCACGGACGTTCAGCAAACACGGTTCTCATACAATTATTGCCTCGCCAGATACGAATTACAAATGGAAATAGAAA